GGGTGGGAGTGTTGCACTCCATGGTCTCAGAGGCATTTTCCAACCTCTGTAATTCCATGATCCTCTGAAGTCACCCATCCCACAGGGATCCCACACTCAGCTCAGGGTGACGCTCACGGGCTCTGTCCTTCCCACTCCACTGGTGCCACATCCGGGCACGGACAGAGCCTGTGGAGCTTCCGGAATGTGCCGGGTTGGCTCCAAGCCCCCTCCCCAAGCTTTCCCCTGTGCACAAACAGCTCAGCTGTGCCCCGGCTGAGCCCAGCCCGTGTCACCACGTCCCTGTGTCCCCCAGTCCCCCTGTCCCCACGTCCCCGTGTCCCCACATGCCCTGTCCCCACATGCCCTGTCCCCACATGCCCTGTCCCCACGTCCCCGTGTCCCCACGTGCCCTGTCCCCACGTCCCCATGTCCCTGTGTCCCCACATGCCCTGTCCCCACGTGCCCTGTCCCCATGTCCTGCTCTCACCCTGAGCGTGTGGTCCTGGCTGCCTGTGACGAGCCGTCCGGCCGCCGCCTTCAGCGCCGTGATGGGCTTGTGGTGGGCACAGGCCACGCTGTGGGTGAGCTGGCACAGCACCACGGCCCCCCCGCTCAGCACCGGCGACGATGGCACACTGCCCCGGCCCGGGGCCCCTGCACACACACGGGTGAGCCTGCACTGCAGGGACCTGGGGCTGCCCCTCAGGGAACCCTCGGGCTGCAGCTGCAGCGGCTCAGGGCTCATGAACAGGGAGGGGCTCAACAGAGTGATGGAATCCTGGAATGGTTGGGTGGGAAGGGACCTGAAAGATCACCCAGTGCCACCCCCTGCCACCAGCCCAGGTTGCTCCAAGCCCCCTCTAACCCAGCCTTGGACACTTCCAGGGGTGGGGCAGCCACAGCTTCTCTGGGAAACCTGTGCCAGGGCCTCCCCACCCTCCCAGCCAGGAATTCCTTCCCATCTAAATCATCCACTCCAGAACTGAAGGAACCCCTGTGCTCGAAGCAGTTACCCCCTCAGACCTGTGGCTGTGCTGAGGCCCTGGGCTGGGAATGAGTGAAAACTGAGAGAAATAAGTGGAAGGAGGTAAGGGCAGAGCTGACCCTGGGAGCACACTGGAGCCTCCAGCCTGGAGCCTCCAGCCCCTTGCCTTGGGGAAAACCAGCATGGGGATGGACTCCCTGCACAGGGAACTGCCCCAGAACCCCTCACCTCTCCTTGGCCCTGGCAGCACAGGGTGCCCTTACTGCTAAAGCTGGAGAGGGTGTGAGAAGAGTCAGCTCCAAAGAGGAAGAGGGAGGAGGAAGAGGGAGGAGACAGGGCAGTGCAGACACTCCCAGCCCTGCTCACCTCGGAACTGCAGGTGGTTCAGGGCCGCGTGTGTCTCCAGAGAGAAGAAATCCAAGGAGCCGTTCAGCCGGGCAGCCACGATCCTGAGGAGAAACAGGGGGTGAGGAGAGGCCCCCCCGGGCCCCCAGACTGGGCAGAGCACAGAGCACCCACTCCTGGGAGGAACTGCACCAGCAGGGCTGGGAGATTACAGAGCTCAGAACCTACTGCCCCATGGCAGCACCTCTGCAACAGCAGCCACGGGAACCAGGGACCCAAAGCTCTCCCAGCCCTGAAACCTTCTGGATATTTTGCTACAGGGGAAACTGAAGAATGAAGAAGTGGCTGCTGGAGCAGACATGGAGCCAGAAAAGCTGGTGAGAGGTGGACACAGGGAAGGATATGGCTGGATATAAGGTTGGATCTCAGGAAAAAGTTCCTTTCCCAGAGGGTGGTTGGCACTGACCAGGCTCCCCAGGGCAGTGGGCACGGCCCCAAGGCTGCCAGAGCTCCAGGAGGGTTTGGACAA